ATAATAATAATAATAATAATAATAATAATATCTCATCAGTGTTATTGTTCGTTTTTTTTACAGGAACACTGAATGACCAAAAAAAGCACCAGCACCAGTCCTAAGTTGATGGTTACCAAGTTTTAATTCTAATTACTAAACTTCTATTATTAAATAATACTTTATTATATTATACTGCTTGACTGACTGATATTAAGAGTGTACTTTCAGATATTTAAAAAGCTGTACCATTTTACAAACATTATATATAAATGTTTTATTTGTTCCCCACAAAATAGTTTTTTCACTAAATGTTTGGATTTCTAAAAATGATAGTGCACTGATTATTCTAGAATAACTTTTGCTGCCGAATTATCCACTAACCTAATTTATGATACATTTTTGTCATAGATTATAAATATACATAGGCCTAAATGTTTTCATATTTGTTTATGTTATTTTTCTTTATAATGAAGCAGTCTGTATGTAGTAGATTGTGAAATAATGAATATCAGTTCCACACACAGAGATATATCAATTCTACATTTATTTAAATGAGGGAAAAAAACTTCACTGGTATCGGATCGGAATCGGTATCAGAAGCGAAAAGGCGGATCGGAGCATCCCTAGTTATATGTAGTGAGTTATGTGTGCTGTTACGCTCATTCGTTTTGAAGTCTCTCACAAAGACAGAAGCAGTGTGAGCTTGATACCAGAAATACACTATTCATTACCAATCGCCGTTTACGCTGACTGTAATAAAATCAGAAGAATCATTCTCGCCTTTCGATGCTTTACTGGTTATTTTTTGTCATGCAAGTTTTAATCAGTTTATCTGTCCCCGTCGGGCAAGTAAAAACCCATTTTAAACTAGCTAGAAGGCTGGTCAACTAGCTGTAGTTTGACCGGTGTTTTTTTACAGCAATGTTTTCTGATGACGCAGTAACCACTGAGGGGGAAGTAAAAACATGCTCGGTCTGTCACAGGATTCTTAGCAGTAATGTGACCAAAACTACTGAAGACCCCTGGAATCTGAACGTAAGAGGTTAGAAGGGTTTGTAAGGAGCTCCTGATCTCACCGTGTCTCTGGACTGGCTCTGGTCCAGCGCTGACAGCCGTCTGCTCAGGTCAGACAGAACGAAGCGCACGCTCTGGATCTGCTCGCTCAACCTCGACTCCTGCAGCAGCACTGAGCTGTTCAGATCCTTCACACCGTCCTCCAGATGCTGCAGCTCCTGCGACACCAGCCAGTGATTACTACAGCGCTCTACACCAGACAGATCCGTCAGCAGCTTCAGTGACGCACACTCAGAGCAAAGACTGCAGCATCATTAGCAGTTCAGCTCGGAGCAGCAATGCTCGATAACGGTTTGATAACAGTGTCGATGCTGCAGGAAGACTGACAAGAGTTCAGCTTGATTCCATTCAACAATCACAGCAGCATCACACAAAACAGCTTTGTGGGTAACCGAGAGTGTGTGTGAGTGTGTGTGTGTGTGCGTGAGTGCATGTGCTAGTATTGTAATTTTACTGTTGTTCTATAAAATAAAATTGTAAGCATAATAATAATAATAATAATTACAACAGCTCTATTAATACATTCACAGTGTTCAAACTGGGATCTGTAATATTTTCTAATGTTTTAAACGACGTCTCTTCTGCTCAGCTGTGTGTGTGTAAGTGTGTGTGTGTGTGAGTGCATGTGTGTGAGTGCGTGTGTGTGTGTATGTGTGCATGTATGTGAGTGCGTGTGTGTGAGTGCGCGTGTGTATGTGTGAGTGTCAGTGTGCGTGTGTCAGTGTGCGTGTGTAAGTGCGTGTGTGTGAGTGCATGTGTGTGTGTGCGTGTGTGTGTGCGAGTGTCAGTGTGTGAGTGTGCGTGTGTAAGTGCGTGTGTAAGTGCGTGTGTGCGCGTGTGTATGTATGTGCGAGTGCGCGTGTGTGTGCGTGTGTAAGTGTGTGTGTGTGAGTGCGTGTGTAAGTGTGTGTGTGAGCGTGTGTGTGTATGTGCGAGTGCGCGTGTGTGTGTGAGCGTGTGTGTGTATGTGCGAGTGCGCGTGTGTGCATGTGTGAGTGCATGCGTGTGTGTGAGTGCATGCGTGTGTGTGTGAGTGCATGCGTGTGTGTGTGTGTGTGAGTGCATGCGTGTGTGTGTGAGTGCGTGTTTACCTGCTTCAGTGTCACACAGCTGCTGCTGTTCACAGGTTTCTCTCCATTCTTTAATCAAGAGAAAACCATTATAAATAAGCCTCACACTGAACACACATCAACACAATCACATTATAAAAACTGATATGAAGCACATCTCAGAAATCTAAAGCTACTAACATGTTGTAAGGTGAACTCTCCCTTCAACAAGTGTCTCTGATCTAAGCTTTGGAAGAGAAACATACACAGAAAGCATCTGAATGAAAACAATATAGTACTGTTTAGTAGTGAAACATACAGCGTTGTCCTTCAGCCGATCTTCTCCTTTCCTTCTCTCCTCCACCACAGACTGAATCATAGAGACATCGTGCTGGACACTGGTGACGGTGCTGCCGATGGAGGCCACGCTCTGCACACACACAGATCAGTTTAAGCTCACGTCTCTCTCTCTCACACACACACACACACACACACACACACTCTCTCTCTCTCTCTCACACACACACCAGTGTAAGCTCACATCTCTCTCACACACACACACACAAACTCACACACACTCTCTCTCTCTCTCTCACACACACCAGTGTAAGCTCACGTCTCTCTCACACACACACACAAACACACACTCTCTCTCTCTCACACACACATACACACACACACACTCTCTGTCTCTCTCACATACACACACCTTCTGCAGCTCCTCTATCGTCCGCGGCAGCGCGATCAGATCAGAGGAGGATTTGATGTTGGTCTTCAGGTGATTCACAGCAGAATCCAGAGCGCTGAGCTGCAGAGACATGAACACCATCACACTGATACTGACGTGTGTGCTCTTCTCAGATCTTCATGTGTTTCACTGCTAAACCACTCTGAGAGGAGTGTGTAGCTCATCACACACACACACACACACACACAAGCTCAGTACCTTCTGATAGATGTCGCTCAGGTTGGACCAGAGTTTGGCCAGGCCTCTGTCTCCACTCTCCAGCTCATCCAGCTTCGTCTGTTTGTCCTTCAGATCTTCACCGAGCTTCAGGATCTCGTGTGACGAGAGCTTCTGACTGCTCTCCACTGTCAAACACCAACCAGACCATCATCACAACTATTAATGCTAGGCGTCTCTAAAGTCAATATGAAACACTGTTCACATCTGTGATGCAACACATAGTCCATAAAAACAGGATAATTTAACTGATCGGCTGGTGAAGTGCGTTTATATGAAGAGAGTGATGGCAGAAGAAGTGGAGATAGATAACTATCATACAGACTAATGTGTCTTTCTTTGTAATAACATGACTGAGGAATCGTTAGAGCAGGATCATTAGCTGCAGTAAATCATAGGGATGCACCGAATGCTCAGCAACCGAAATTATTCGGCCAAAAATAGCAACAAAAAAAACCCCCAACCTCTTTTGGAGTTCGGCTGAATAAGAGAAAAGACGGAATAAATTGTACGGAACAGTGACGTGACATGATCAAATAGAGCTTACAGACACGTCGCAGTGTGAAAGCACCGAGGTCTTCCTGCGGCTTTCTGACAAAATATCAGCTCCATCAACATTCATAAACGCTCGTGTTGTAATTTCTGTTGTTCTGTAAAATAAAATTGTAAACATAATAATAATAATTACAACAGCTCTATTAATACATTCACACATAGTGTCTAAATTGGGATCTGTAATATTTTCTAATGTTTTAAACAACGTCTCTTCTGCTCAGCGAGGCTGCATTTATTTGCACAGTAAAACACACATGCCTGATTCAAGAAAATGACCAAAACAATATCACTTTACTAACTTCAGTTAAATTGTGCTTTGTTTGGTATAATGTTAAAAAATGTTCAGTGTTAAATAAATCTTTCTAAATTGTTATTTTTTAATTGATTTTTTCTTTAAAAAGCAAGACAAAACTGTAAAAAAAAAAAATCACATTTTGGCTATTTAATTTAAGCAATGGTGAAAAAAATTGGCCAAATACATGGGGGGGGGGGGGGGG